TCCTGCTTTCCCTTGGAACAGCTGTTGTAGTTTTCAGCCCAGTTTTCTAAGCTAAAGTTGTAGGAAATTGAAAAAAGTGCCATTGAGTAGAAGCTGTGGAAGTGCTGCAACCTACCAATAGTAATACTCAGTACTCTGTGGGGAATACTTAATGCAGCTCCATGACTTCCTTTCAAACAGCATTAGGTTGTTTCCATGTATAGAGCAGGAGACTAAGACATGGAAGAGGAGGCTAAAACTGTGAAGAAAGCCACTAAGCCTAGTAGCCTGTAGGCTGCTGGTTGCACCTCAGGTTAATGACAACAGATGCCAGATTGCCTAAGCCCCGTGCAGAGTTTTGGGTGTCTAGGATATGGTGTCTTCAGGTGTTACTGAAGAACGTGGATGCTGTATTGGAGCATGAAGTGTGAAAGCTAGAAGTGCTACTAACCCATACTGCATCAAATCCCCTTGCAGCCAATCATAAAAGACAGAAATGACTTTTTTAGCGGCCTTTGCAGTGGACTCTGCCACATCCTCTGCTCCCAGGACTGAGATTAGCAACTGGGTGGTATTTTATCATGGCCAACAAGTGTGTGCTGCCCCACCTGGCTATGGCCTGTTCAGAACAGCTGGGCATCCAGCAATGGGTGCCAAGGGGAAGGTCCCTGGAGCCTCAGCAGTGGTGAAGCTGTGACAGAGCCTGTGACTTGCAGACATGGTCATCCTGAGTGTGATGGCCTGACTTCTGCTCTGAGGCCGCACAGGAGCCAAGCCTTGCAGAGTGAGGAGCACCAAGTGGATGTGCCCAGTCAGAAGACTCTGGTATTGTTATCCAGCACTGCTGGATCTCAGTCCGCATCAGGCTCTGAGCTGTTAAGCAAACACTGAAAGCAGAGAAAACCTAGTACGTCTGTTCCCAGCAACTCCATGCTGATGGCACAGTCCCAGTTACGAACACAGACTGTTGGTTGCCTGGAGTGAGCCAGGGCACAAAGCTTTTTGTTTTCTGTTAGCTCTTAAGCATTTAAAACCTCAGGAATTCTCAACTCCCAGGCTCATTCATTTTCCACCATGCTACTGAGGCGCGCTGGGTAGCTGGGTTTTTTCCTTCAGCAAGAGATTAATAGATCCCAAAACCTGGAAGGAGTGTGGAGGGAGTGGCAGTGGCCTATAGGAAAAACTCATTGCTTACAACTGTTTCTCATTTTAGGGCAGTTTCCTAGCAGCTTTGTGGAGCCTGTGGATATTCCCCCTTTGAAGCAGGGAGAAAAACTGTTTGTTTGTACCAGTGACTTCACATCTCAAGAGCCAGGAAGCTTGTCATTGCAGAGAGGTAATCTACATTCCCTTCTTTTGCTTGGCACCTTGTCGCCCTCACCTGTCCTTCCAGAAGCATGAACCCAGTCACAGCATCCTGCCTAGAGTGACAGGAGAGAGAGGGGAATTTCCTAATAACCTCATGACATGGCTCATATCAAATCCACCATGGACCTTTGGGCTTCTGCTACTCTGGTACCAGTTTTTCATGATCTATCATTACTCTTGAAACTCCAAAAACTGGAGTTGTCTGATCATAGTAAACGTACAGCTGCCTTTTAACTGCCTTCCAGTTCCCAAATCTTAGACTTGCATTTGAGGGAGAAATCAAAGCTTTGGTGGACCTTCACTGTTTGCAAGCCAAAACTGTATCTTAGACGTGTGCAGGAGGCTGCCAATGCTTCATGCCTTACTGCCATTCCGTACTCTTGTGCATCCCCAGAATGCACTGTGCTCTGTGCAGAGAGTCAGTCCTCACCCACAGACAGGAGGGTCATGGGGAGGCAGGAATAAAAGGTGAGAAGCAATCATGATGGCAGACTTAAACTGGTTTGTCTCATTCCCTGCAGGAGACCTGGTGATCCTTGGGGGGTCTCTGGCCTCCAGCTGGCTCCAGGGCCGAAGCAGCTGGGGTTCCAAGGGCTTTTTCCCTTCATCATGTGTGCGGGAGTTGTGCCTTTCGGTTCAGAGCCGTCAGCTGTCCCAGAGCGCTCTCCTGGAGGTGCCTGCCTATTCACTGGGCCAAGCCCGGGCCCTAATGGACCTGTCTGCTCAGCTGGAAGAGGAACTGGACTTCAGGGAAGGGGATGTGATCAACATTGTTGGTGTCCCAGAGCCTGGATGGTTCGAAGGCGAGCTCAGAGGCCATAGGGGCATCTTCCCAGAGGGTTTTGTGGAACTGCTTACTCCTCTGCAAGCATCAGGAACCTCAGTGGATCCAGAACCCACAGGGACTTGTGACATCAATGGGACAGTGGAAGTGGCCCCCAAGGAGGAGGAGGAGCCAGGGAGCACTTACGGTGTTGCCCTTTATCAGTTCCAAGCACTGGAGTCCAAGGAATTGGATTTCGATGTGGGTGACAGGATTCGGATCATAGGCATTCTGGAGGATGGATGGCTGGAAGGGGAGCTGAGGGGGAAATGTGGCATCTTTCCACACCGATTTGTGAGGCTGGAAGCTTCTGAGGCTTGCAGGGATAAGGCAAGTGCTGGGGATCCCCAACATGGAGGCAACTGTGGAGTGACCGTCCATCAGGACCTGGAAAATACCTGCTCCGAATCTCCTCCTTTGCCAGGGAAAGATGGCAGGAAAAAGGAGCATGGCTCAGCCCATCAGGACCTCGAAAATACCTGCTCCAAATCTCCTCCTTTGCCTGGGAAAGATGGCAGGGAAAAGGAGGATGGCTCAGCAGCACACCCTGAGCCTGACACTGTTTTGTCTCACCAGGCGGAGAGGTCAGAGAATCCTTTTGGCACTGACTTGGGACAGCATCAGGCCTTTCCCAGCACAGGACACCAAGGACAACTTCCCAAAGGCACAGCAGACTCCTTCCCCTTTGGCCACACAAAGACAGTCAATGGCCTTCTCCCCTCTGCTCAGCTGCCCCCCCAACAGGGCAACAGACCTGACCAAGCAGGTGAGTTGGAGCCTGAGGGGACTGTTTCAGCCTCCCCAGGAAACTCAGAAACTCACACCCTACCCAAGCGTGATGGAGACAGTCCCACTGTGTCCTTGCAAGCTCCCCACTTCCTCAAGGATCCTTGCAGGAGCCAGGTGACTTCTCCTAACAACTGGGCGGCATCTGAGCCCCAAGAGAGCCAGAGCAGCACCCAGGACCTGGACAACGGTGTGGACAGTCAACAGGAGAAGTCCAAACCCTGTACCTCCAGCCTGGGAGGTGCCCAAGTGGGTCTGGACACGTGGGCTGGGAGCTGGGGGGAATGCTGCCCACTCGGGGCACAGGGGGACAGCTGCACAGACCTCGACTCCAAACTGACTGAGCAGCTGGTGCAGTTTGAGAAGAGCCTGTCCAGTACCAGCGCTGAGCAGGACAAGGTCTCCCGCCACTTCTCTATCTTGGACTACAGCTCTGAGAAGGACATTGTCCGTGGGTCTCCTGAGTCTGCCCCCCAAGCCAGGCAGCCAGAGAGGAGGAAAGCCCTGAGGCCACCCCCTCCTCGGCCCAGCAGCCTTGTGACAACTCCTGTGCACAGGCTGGGTGGCCAAGTGCCCAAAGGCGGGTCTCTGTCCTTCTCGGTCAGGCCCTCCCGGCCTGCACCCCGGCCTCCACCAAGCAACCAGCGGAAAAACGCGGCCCCTGCGCAGCTTCAGCCCAGTGCCCAGGAGCAGCGGGTGGAGGAGGGACGTGAGGACTTGACACGTGCAGGATCAGCTTCCCCCCACTCCATTCTGCTGATGAGGATAGGAGAGGTGGAGCGAGACCTGGAGGCCTACGGCAAGACCCGCACTGAGCTAAGTCTGATGCTGGAGGAGCAGCAGGATGAGCTGGTGAGAGCAGAGACCCTGGAAAACCTTGATTTCTGTGACTCCAACATCGAGAGCCTCAGTGTGGAGCTGCAGGAGCTGAGAGGTGAGTCTGCAGTAGCATGGGATGGGATGCTTCAGGGGGACAGCTGTGCCATGCTGTGTACAGGCACTGTTGGAGCCATTGTTTTATTTCCTTCTTTAGTTCCTGATTTTGGTCATTTTGTAAGCATTGTTATAGTACAAATCATCATGATTTTGCCTCAGAGAGCCACAGAGTCATTCTCTGGACATCCTTCATCCCTGGCTTTCCCCATCCTCTTTTCCTTCTGACTCTCACACATCCTTTTCAGCCCCACCATACATCCAGAGTGCTGATCTGATCCATTGCCAGTGTGTCCTTGCTCTCAAACAAAACCACAGCTGCTACAGGTTCAACTTCCCTGCCTCATCCTCTCGTAGCTGTAGGGGAGTAAGCAGCAGCTTCAGAGTGGCTTTGCTGGTGGTGCTGCAGTTGAGGTTTGAGTTGACTGATGTCTGTAGTATGACTGTCCTCAGCCTGTCAGGGCTTTCCTGCATCCCATTCTGCTCTGATGGTGATACAGACTTTTGGGGAATGTCACTTAAATCAGAGGGGATGCACAGAAGGGTGCTGAACCTGGCCTGGGAGTGGGATGGGCTAGTGGCAAAAGGTAGAGCCTGCCTCTGTGCTCTTCCAACCATGGAGTCCAGGACAGAAAAATGATACTGTGCTGTTGGTAACAGCAACAAAGAACTTTAAATTATATCATGTCTGTAGCTGGAAAGATTACTTTTGTCCATGGAGCTGGGAAAAATTACTCTGGGTGAAGAAATTTGCTGTGATTGTATCAGCACATTTGGACTCTGAAACCCAAAGATGCCATATAAAGATCAGTGCTGTTAATTACGTTATGCTTGATATTACAGTAGACAAAGTGGAAAGACAGGACCACATACATCTCCCACAGTCCCTTTGCCAGCGTCTCCCAGGAGCTCTGACACTGGAGTTCTGTTACCGAAACCCACGATGTGCAGGAAATGTGGGCACTGCATGCGGGAGGTGGAGTGAAATGTCAGCTCCTGCCTGGGGATTACTCACTCTGACTTCATTGCCTTCATCCTCCCACTGTTTAATCAGTGCTGGAGAGCCCAGGCACTTAGCTGCAGGATTATGTCTGATGCAGAGCACATGGGAATGAAGGCTGGTATGGGTGCACCAGGGAAACAGGGTGACAACCAGCCTCCATGTCAGTGGCATGCAAGAGAGATGCTTGGAAGGAGGCTTAGAGGATTTGAGACCAGATGAAATAACATGAAGATAGGAAGAGGAAAATGTAGGCTAGATCTCAAGGGAACTTTTCTCATGGGATGGATCGTGCTGGGAAATGTCTCCTACTGTCCCAGTGCTTCCTGAAAAGGACAGCTCCTGTGGAACCTGTGCCCTGTCGCTTACTGGAACTGGAAGTTTTAGGCAGGAAAGTAACATACTATCCTAGACATCCTACCCATCAAGTTATCCCGTTGGTAGTCCTAGGGGATTTTTCACCACTTCAAGAGACCTGAGGATTTACTAGTCTCTCTGGTCTTATAATAAAGATGTGCCCTCCCCAAGCTCTATCACATCCCTCCTGCCACATCTGAGTGTGGCCAGAGAGTATGTCTCAGGCTTGCTAGCCCAGCTTTAGCGCAGCAGGCCACATCAGTAATGCAGTGTTGCATTGGCTCAGCAAAACATGTTTGTGCTGTGCCTAAGGCATGGCCTCTGCCTTGCCACTGTTGGGGAACACAGAGGCACACAGGAGGGAGAAAAGTTTTCACTAAGCATTGACCAGCAACCAAAATAGAGCTGGCATAGTCTTGGGGGAACCCAGCCTGTTGGTGCATCCTTTGGGGAGCCAAAGGAAGAGCAGAAAGTACGTGGTTTCTAAAATACATGTTTAAAATCTGCAGGCTGCCTTTTTGGTGTGTCCTGTGTGCACACCGGGGGTTTCACTGCTCACCAGGCTGGGGCAGGATTAGCGCTTGTCCTCCTGCAGTTGGAGCAGGAGGGTCTGTTGGTTTTGGTTTTGTCTTCTGAAAAAGACAAAATGCTGGGAGCATTGGCTGTGCATTCCTAACAAGCATTGCAAGACCCTGCGATGTGGATGACATCTGTGGACTCTCCAGCTTTCTGTCTAGGGCATGTTGTGGTTGTCTCTTGGTTTCTTATAGGAGCTCCTGCATTTGGCAAGGAAAACTGGGACTGTGTTGTGCCCTGCAGTGAGCAAGTGGAGTGTGTGTTTCTATAGTCTCCTAGAAACTTACAGTGCACGTTGGCACTGGACTCTGTAACACAGATAGTTCCTTCAAGCCTGTTCCTATCAGCTGGTGGACCAGCCGTTTGCCCTGGAGCAGGAACAGGGCAACTGTGGCTGCATGGGCAGGGCACCACTCGGTGTTGCTCGGTCAAACATGGAACTTATCCTCTTCTGCTCTTCCCAGGACCTGTGGGTAAGGGCTGAGAAAAGGATGGGCTCAACGTCAGGTTTGAGCCAGGGGCAGCATGAAGGCCCCAGCTTCCCCAGTGAGGTGTGGAGCAGAGCCCAGCCTCTGCTAGACCACATCATTTAACCTCCATGCCAGTGGGAGCATGAGGGCAGTGGAAGGAGATCTGGTATCCTGTGTGGTTTGTGGCTTCCTGCGGTCTCACGCAGTCTGTTTCCCTCCCCTGAGGATGTTGGTCTCGGGGCAGGGCTCCTGCATGCTCAAATGCCCTCCTTTTCCCTGCCTCTGAGCCTCCTGCAGGGAGGCTTTGCCAAAGCGGTGGAGCCGGTTTGGGCAGTGAGAGCCTGCCCAGCCCTGGCCTCCCTCCTCGGGTCTGGTTACTGATTACTTTGGGCAGCAGGTGGAGGAGGCCAGGGCTGGCGGCGATTGGGCCAGTGCCTCCCTGTGCCCTGCCTGGCTGGTTTCAGGAAGCAGCACCTACGTTTCACTTGGGACGGGAGCGCTGGAGCAAAGCGGAGAAGCGGTGTCAGCCTGGACCTGGGCTCAGGGAGCAGGTAGCAAAGGGAGTCAGCCCTTTTGCCACTCCCTGGCAGGGCTATGTGCGCTTGTCCTGGGACGAAGCACGGCGTGGAGGATCTGAGGCAGGAGCGGCGGCTCCTTGGCTGGGAATATGAGGACTGTTGTGCTGTGCGGAAAGAGGACGTGGCTGGAGTGTCTGCACGGCGCAGGGAGGCTCACTGCAATGACAGAGCCAGGCCAAGGAGGCAGTACCCGGGATGCCAGGAAGCAGGCAGTGGCTGGGATGGGTACAGGAGAGGGGAAGGCATCTCTATGGACCAACAGACTGTGAATGGAGACTGTGGAGGGTTTTGGAAGGGAGATACCCAGTACACAAACTGCTGGAGAGCAGAGGGTGTTTGGGAAGGCAAAAGCCAGGATACAGAGGGTAGAAACTGTAGGCTGTATGAGACAGAGAGTGTGAGATACAGAAACTGCAATTCTGAGATAAGAGAAGGGCGATACAGAGAGGACAGAGTACCTGGGCAGTATATGGAGAGGGAAAAACAGTATGGAGAGAATAGAGGCCCTGGAAAATACAGGAGGAGAGAAAGGTGTCAGAACTACAGAGATACTAGGGACTACAGTGAGGATGAAAGACATGGGGAAAAAGAAAGGTGGTATAGTCAATGGGGAGACTCTGGGGAGTATAGGGAAGGGGAAAAGTGGTATAGAAAGGATGGAGGGTCTGGGGCATATAGAGAGAAGGAAAGGCAGTACACAGGTGCCAGGGACCACATAGACCAAGAAGATACTGAGCGGCACAGGCAGCCCAAAAGCCGTGTGGTGGACCACAACAGTCTGGACAGAAGTTCCGAAGCTCCTGCATGTACAGTCTGGTCCTCAAGTGACAGTAGCATAAGCCTGGGGTCAGGCACCTGCTACACACAGTCCAAGACACAGGACAAAGACTATGACAGCTGTGGGGAGCTGGAAGGAGCAACCCCAGGGCTTGGGATGCCAGCCAGGAGCAGCAGCGGAGCAGAGCACTCAAGGGTACGCACAGGCCGGCCGGACTGGAGCCAGGTCTGGGAGCAGGAGGCCGAGGAAGCCAACAGGGTGGGCTCCATGCTGCAGCGAAACAGCTTCTACAGGCGGACGGCTCCCAGCACCCTGCGGCACTCAGAGTTTGTGCAGACCAGGAAGGAGAAGCGAGGTACGCGGGGAAATGCTGTGCAGTTGCCTTGGGTGTGCCTTTGCCCTGCCCTGGCACTGGGGCAGCACTGGGGCTGCGGCACAAGTGGGTGGCCAGCACAGCCGTCCTCTCATGGGAAACCCGTTGGGCTTGCTGAAATGGGCATCATCATTGTTACCCCTCTGTACAGTCACTCATCTGCCCTGCAAGGGCTTTTGTCCCCATTTTGCAGAGGCGCAGGCAAGAATGAAGCATAGGCAGCACAAACCCACAGTTCACTGCTATCCTTTCATTTGCTTCTCCATCTGTGCCCTGAGTGTTTTGGGTACCCTGAAAACTTTGGACCTGATTTGCCTCCTTGCTCAGGGCCCCTGAGGAGGTTCTTCATGGGGGAAAGGGTGAGGTGCTGGGGTTATTCCCACTGCCTGTTTTACCTTTATAACCCACTACGAGCAGATTCTGTGTGTAGGAATCTTTTCCTGATCCTCCAGAGGGTGAGTGTGGCAGCGCAAAGGAGGAAATAGAGGAAGTTGTTGTAGCACTCAGGCATACACAGAGGGCAAGTACTTGTAGTTAGGTAATTGCACATGGGCAGGACATGGAGGCACCTGTGCGTTGGGGGGCTGCTGCAGATGGGGACAGTACCTCCAGCATTGCCAGCCCCTCAGTACCACAGTCGTCCCTTGCCTGTACTGCAGCAGTTGCATGTCCTGGGTCCCCAAGCTGTCCCTGTGTCTCCAGTTCCATCAACCAGCACCCTGGAGCTGGTCCCATATCAAAGCTGGAGCACTCAGGCTGTCTTGGCACAGGCAAAATTATTCCATTGATGCTGTGGCTGGAACAGAGTTGGTGCAGACAGCTTTGTGGGGCTTGGCTTGTTACACGAATATTAGTGTGTGTTGGGGAAGGGGCAGCAAGGTGGTAGGGTCTGGGCAGAGGAACTGAAGGAGCCCATCTTGGTGGACTGCTGTGTCTGTTGGGCTGCCGTGTGTCTGAAAACCTGTTTGCTGCAATACCCTTTCTGCCAGCATCTGTCTTGTGCATCTGCGTGTGAGCTCATGGAGGGGGATTGAAACACAGAAGAAAACAGCCAAAGAGATGGCAGAGCTGAAGGCTGTGCATGAAATCTGTCCTCTGGAGGTATTTGATTAAACAGGTTCCCCCGGCTGCATTTCTGCACTCTCGGCCGCCCTGGTGGGGTGGGACTTTGCTCAGCTGTTTCCCTGGTGGCGTGAGGGGAGAAGCTTTGCAATGCCAGGATGTCCAAAGGGCAGGAGG